GGTGAGTGCACCTTCTTCGCCAGCGCAGTAACACAGCACCAAGCGTGACGAGATTCTTGGCGAGGTCACGACTGCTCTGGCAAGGGCAGATTTTTAGAAACAAAAATCCAGCAGCGCGCGCTCAGGCGGAACTTTTGGTAGAAGCCTGTGGACCAGAAACGCTCAAACCCAAATAAGGGCCCACTGAAAGCCGAAGCCCGAGACAGGAAACCTCTATGGAATGGTCTGGACGCCACGCCCAGACCCGAAACAATCTGCAGCCATGCGCGCGCTGCTTCTCGGCCAGTCTGTATCGCATTATGAATGAGCAACAATTACCATGGAGAAAGGGGGTGCTGAGAGCTTCGCCGTGGGTGGATCTGCACCTCTCACGGCACAACACTTAAGTCCCCATGAACATATGAGGACCAGAAATTAGACATACAGCCTCTGCTCGATTTCTGGCGGATCGAGCTCACTGAAGTGCAAGGGTGTCGCAGCCCTAAACCCTAAACCCTAAACCCTAGCCCTAAATCCCAAACCCTAAACCCTAAGCCGTGTCATACACTCAGCCACATCGGAGATGTCACACTCCCTTTGGCAAACCTCATTGCGTCGGGTGCCAAGCTCTTGGTCACAGAGAAAGGAGGTATAGGTGGTCCACACCTTGGGTGCTTAGGGTTTAGGGTTCAGGGGGGTTAAGGGGTTTAGGGGGTTTAGGGGGTTTAGGGGGTTTAGGGGGTTTAAGGGGTTTAGGGTTTGGGGTGTAGGGTTCAGGGTATCGAGTTTGGGGTTTGGGAAGAGAAAGTTAGTTTTTAGGATGGCGCAGAAAATCCTCTGAGAAATCTTCCTAGATATCAAGCCCTTCAACCCTCAAGAGGAAAAGCATGAGACAACACAAGTGCCTACCTAGGTTGTCTCCATTGCTTAGAAGCATGATGGCAACATCCCTAAACCCGAAACCCTAAACCCCAAACCCTAAACCCCATGCAGAAACCAAAAAAAGCAATGCTCAAGAGCACCTGAGGAGCTCAGTGACGCCTTGGTTAGGCTAGGGAACTTGGACTCTGCCGCTGCCTTGTCCCCCTTGTGTCCCAAACCGCCGATGAGGCCGAAGGGCACCTAGGGTTTAGGGTTTAGGGTTTAGGGTTTACTGAACATGGAACCCTAGCAAAAATCACATTCTTCGCTGCTCCTTAGGAATTATAGTGCCCAAACATGAACAACTCTTCCCAAGTATCCCAAAGGCACAGGGATTTGCTCCGCAACGGGTGGTGCATGAGGATTTGGGCCGAAGTGGACATTGGAGTCCATGTCCGTGACATGAAATCGCGGGCCAAAGAGGTCGTTGTTGTCCATGGCCGTGTGTGAGTTCGCCATCTTGGTTGCTGAGTTCATAAGCCACAAGAAAGGGGTTTTAGGGTTTGGGGTTTAGGGTTACACTTTCAGTTCTATAGGGGATTGTAGTATCACAAAAGTGTAAAGTGTACTCACTCAGCTACTCAGCCATGTGCACGTAGGGTTCAGGCTCGTAGGGCGGGAGAAGCTGCTGTGCCTTACTTCTCCAATAACCAAGGGGGGAAAAAACAATTAGGGTTTAGGGTTTAGGGTTTAGGGTTTAGGGTTTAGGGTTTAGGGTTTAGGGTTTAGGGTTTAGGGTACTCTTCCTAAATAAGGGAACCTAAAAAAGCGAAAAAAATCAGCTGTTGGAGGAGGGCAGGTGCTTCTGCCAAGCTCATAGGATCCATGAAGTTGTACGTTGGCATCACCTAGCTGCTGAGTACCCTGGGCCAAAAAAAGAAGGTTTAGGGTTTAGGGTTTAGGGTGTAGGGTTTAGGGTTTAGGGTTCCACCCCAAAAGGGTATAAAGGTTACCTTCTCAGCTACTGAGATCATGAAAGTGGCAACGAATGGGGATGGATCCGCTTGTGCAGGGATGCCCGGGAAGGTCGAACCGTGCACGTCGATCATCATCTTTGACTTTGATTTCATCTCGAACACGTCATGGACAAACCTGACTTAGGGTTTAGGGTTTAGGGTTTAGGGTTTAGGGTTTAGGGTTTAGGGTTTAGGGTTTAGGGTTTAGGCTTTAGGCTTTAGGCTTTAGGGTTTAGGGTTTAGGGTTTAGGGTCGAGGGTCTAGGGTCTAGGGTTTAGGGTTTATGGTTATGGTTCAGGGTTTAGGGTATAGGTTTTAGGGTTTAGGGTTTGGGTTCGAAATTCAAAAATTATATTCCCTATTGGGTTTAAGTACCCTTAAAGATCAAAAATGTTTCCCAACTATGACCGAGAAACCTGCACCCCTCCCCCCGCAGGCAGAAACCGGTCTTCACGAAGTCGAAGCACGGCTTCGGGCTGGGGCGCAACTCCGATGTTGAGTGCGCGAACGTGCAGTCTGCGCCCATCTTGCACTCATTCGTCCGCCAGAATTTGCACATCCGGGTGAATTGCACGGCCTTCTTTTGCTCGGCCTTTGTCATGGCTCTGGCGGAAATTGGAGGGAGCAAAGCGGCCGTTGCTTCAGCACTGCTTTGAGCAGACTCCGGGATGAAAACATAAACTATGTCCCAAACCCTAAACCCTAACCCCTAAGCCCTAAACCCTAAACCCTAACCCCTAAACCCTAACCCCTAAACCCTAAACCCTAAGTCATGTGCGGATCATATGGTGAGTTCTCAAAAGTAGGGTCCTTTTTTGGGCCCCCTAAATAAGAGGGGTCGCCTTAGAATAAGGAACCCAGAGGACCATCATTTAGAGAAATCACCATATCGGAAGCCTCCCTAGTCCCTTGAGGAACATCACCAGGAACAAAAAACCAAGCCTTGTGATACTCAAGGCCGACGCGGACAATAATTGTAGATCCTTTCCGGGGGTCTTATTGTCTAGACCCTGGAGTAACCTGGGAATAAAAAGGGTGCCCTTTTGGGTTTGAAGGGGTTTGTAAGGGTTTAGGGTTTAGGGTTTAGGGTTTAGGGTTTAGGGTTTAGGGTTTACGGTTTAGGGTTTACGGTTTAGGGAACCCAACCCCCCCAAAAAAGGGAACAAGGGCCTGCTCTGGGTCCGAGTTGTACGGCTTGAGTTTGGACCCCACCCCAAAATTGGAACTACCCCCGAGGACCCAACAGGGGTTTAGGGTTTAGGGTTTAGGGCTTAGGGCTTAGGGCTTATGGGTTGTAAGTCATGAGGTCACTAGAGGCCCTTGAACCAAAAACCCTATCAAACTTCGCTGGAATCTGCAAGAAACCAAACTTGCAAGGATGCAAAGTCGAAGCCTACGAGCGGACATTCAAACCCTGCTTTTAGGGTTTAGGGTTTAGGGTTTAGGGTTTAGGGTTTAGGGTTTAGGGTTTAGGGTTTAGGGTTTAGGGTGCTGACGTCCCGAGAGCTTCTGGGCGTGGAGATCGCCTCTAGTATGTATGTCATCGGTTTCGGCTTATCAGGCTTGGTTTAGGGTTAAGGGTTAAGGGTTAAGGGTTAAGGGTTAAGGGTTAAGGGTTTAGGGTTTAGGGTTTAGGATTTTGGGGTGTAAGGGGTATGGCTTGTCACGGCCATATCTAGCAACTAGTGCTCCAAGAACGACCCGCTGCAACACCCGAACGTCCCCAGGCCAAGGAAACATGGCAGGGTCACATCGTACGCCACCCGGGCTCCATCTCGTGCGGTGACCCTAAACCCTAAGCCCTAAGCCCTAAGCCCTAAACCCTAAACCCGAAACCCTAAACCCTAAACCCTAAACCGGGCAGAATCCGAGCCGCTGAGTGGCTGCGGAGGTAGCCGTGCAGAAACTTTAGCTTCACGCCCAGAGGCTCGCAGCCGACGACGGCCCCGGCATTCACCAGCAGCTTGTACACTTCCGCCTTGGGGTTTAGGGTTTAGGGTTTAGGGTTTAGGGCTTGGGGTGTGTGATTAGGGGGGCGGAGTGGAGTGGGGGGGGGGGGGGGGGAACACTACTTACACAGAGATTGCAGGGGGGATTATCGCTCCTTTGACCTCAGTAAACCAGCGGTTTAGGGTTTAGGCTTTCGGGTTTAGGGGTGCAACAACAGCATGAAGGGATCAAACAACCAAAGCCGGCGTGCTGGAAGCACTTCTGTTTACGTTTCAGCCGCAGGGTATAGGCGGTACAGGGTCAACCCGAAACCCTAAACTCTACACCCCAAACCCTAAACCCTAAACCCTAAACCCTAAACCCTAAACCCTAAACCCTAAACCCTACACCCCAAACCCCGGGCTTCGGGTTTAGAGTTTGAGGTTCAGGGATTTCGGGCTTCGAGTACCAGGTGGAAGAAAGACCTCGTCGAAGCACAAGCGCCCCTTGTAGTTCCACACACAGGGTCTGGGGTTTAGGGTTTAGGGTTTAGGGTTTAGGGTTTAGGGTTTTTCGGGCATGGGACTTTGTCTTTAGGGTCTGAGGGTTTTCGGTTTGGGGGCTTGGGGGTTTGGGATTTGGAGCTCACAAGGCCAGGGTCTGTCCTGTATCCAAACTCTCGACACATGTTCCCTGCCCAGTCCCAGTTTAGTAGTTCAGGATTTAGCACCACGAACTTCGAATGCTCTAGATAGACCTATCAGCCCATCTTCATAGGAGTCCTTACTACCCCCCCTCTATACTACCCACCCCCCGCCCCCACCTAGGTTCCCCCCTGAAACAACCTTAATTAGGCTCAATGATCCCTAAATAACCTCAATCATCGGGGGAACCTAGGGGGGGGGGGGGGGTAGTAGCCCTAAACCCTAAGCCCTGCACCCTAAACCCTAAACCCTTCAAGTAGTATAGAGGGGTGTGGTAGATGAACCCATGACCTGTCTCCTACTACACGCTTTCCCAGCCTTGATGATCCGAGCCCTGTTGGGTTTAGGGTTTAGGGTTCAGGGTTTAGGGTTTAGGGCTTAGGGGTTTAGGGTTTAGGGTTTAGGGTATTGGGACTACTACACCCTTCCCAGCCTTGGTGATGATCCGAGCCCTGTTGGTCTTCTCAGCCACTTTCTCAAGCATCTGGATCAAGGCATAGGTGATGGTCATTCCTGGCTTAGGGTTTAGGGTTTAGGGTTTGGGGTTTCGGGTTTAGGGTCTGCCAGAAGGCGGACATCAGAACCTTGACTACCCACCCAAACCCTAGACCTTACGTAAGCCCTAATAACCCTAACCCCTGAACCCGAACCCCTAACCCCCTTCCTGAACCCTAATTAAACCCTAAACCCTCAACCCTAAAACATTAAACCCCTAAACCCCTTAACCCCAAACCCTAATTCGACCCTAAGCCCCAATAACCCTAAACCCCAACCCCCCCCCCCCCTCGTGAATACAACCACTGAGTAGTCCTGCAAAGCGACCTTGGTGATGTAACCAGCACCACCGCCACCATCACCCCCCCCCCCCCCCCCCCCCCGCCAACCCTAAACCCTAAACCCTAAACCCTAAACCCTAAACCCTAAACCTAAAAGAACAGCTTCAAAAAGTTCAGAAGCCGAAGCCCGAAACACTGCACTCCCAGCTCTAAACGCTAAACCCTGAGTTGACTACTTGCATAAACCCTGGTTTAGGGTTTAGGGTTTAGGGTTTAGGGTTTAGGGTTTAGGGTTTAGGGTTTAGGGTTTAGGGTTTAGGGCTCCAAATTAACCCCGAAATTGCAGACAAAAAACCCTGAAACCCTGAAGCCTTGAACAACTTGAACACCCTTTACATCCAGAACCCCTCATCCAGCCCCTAGACCCTAAACCCTAAACCCTAAACCCTAAACCCTATGACCCTACCATGCTAAACCCAAAACCCTACAATCTCACACCCAAAACCCTACAACTCCAAACCCTACGACCCTACCATGCTAAACCCAAAACCCTACAACTCCAAACCCTAAACCCTAAACCCTAAACCCGAACCCTAAACCCTAAACCCTAAACCCTAAACCCTAAACCCTAACCCTAAACCCTAAACCCTAAACCCTAACCCCTAAACCCTAAACCCTAAACTCACGGCGTCCTGGGAAGCGCTCCTTCCCGCGGTGGGTGCGGGGCTGGGAGTGGCCTCCCAGGCGAGCCACCAGGGAGAGGTCGAGGTCGAACTTGTCCACCTTGGTTTAGGGTTTAGGGTTTAGGGTAGGGTTTAGGGTTTAGGATTTAGGGTTTAGGGTTTAGGGTTTAGGGCTTCGGGTTTCGGGCTTGGGGTTTAGGGTTTAGGGTTCTGGTGCGTCGTTCGGCATTCGGTCCCAGGCCCCAAGCCCCAAACCCTTCATGCCTGGGACACCTAAGAAACCCTGAGCCCTGAACCCTACCACGTTGGTAGGGTTTAGGGTTTAGGGTTTAGGGTTTAGGGTTTAGGGTTTAGGGTTTAGGGTTTAGGGGGTTTAGGGTGTTTAGGGTGTTTAGGGTGTTTAGGGTGTTTAGGGTGTTTAGGGTGTTTAGGGTGTTTAGGGTTTAGGGTTTATAGGGTTTAGGGTTTATAGGCTTTAGGGTTTATAGGGTTTAGGGTTTAGGGTTTAGGGTTTAGGGTTTAGGGTTTGGGGTTTAGGGTTTAGGGTTTAGGGTTTAGGGTTTCGGGTTTAGGCCATTATGGGTCCAAGGCACGAGCCAGTCAACATCTGCTGCGCTGTTGGCGCAAAGCACCTGGTAGCCATCTGCCGCCTACCCCTGCCGCCTACCCCCTACCCCCTACCCCCTACCCCCTACCCCCTACCCCCTACCCCCTACCCCCTACCCCCTACCCCTGCCCCCTACCCCCTACCCCTCTGGGGTTTTGGGCTTGGAGTTTCGGGTTCCTGAACTTAAGGACCCTAAACCCTAACCCTAAACCCTAAACCCTAAACCCTAAGCCCTAAACCCTAAGGCGGCCCTATGTATACATATAGATGATGCAGTCCCTAGGTACCTATAAGAAGCTTCAGAAGATCGCCTGAATAAGCTTGCAGGGTCCCCCTATAAGGGTCCCTCCTTTAGTCCCTTGATGAGCCTGAGCCCTCAACCCTTAGCCCCGAACTGTTGCAAGCCGATGATCCCGAAATCTCAATACTCGGGCGTTGCCATGCCAAACCCTAAACCCTAAACCCTAAACCCTAAACCCTAAACCCTAAACCCTAAACCCTAAACCCTAAACCCTAAACCCTAAACCCTAAACCCTGCGGTTGTGGGCTTAAAATTTGAGACTGGGGGTTTGGTGTGGGTTTAGGGCTTATAACTTGGGGTTTAGGGTTTAGCGTTTAGGGTTTAGGGTTTAGGGTTTTAGGGTTTCGGGTTTAGGGTGAGTGGTTTAGGATTTGGGGTCACTAGCGGTTCAAGACTTAGACCCTTAGCCCCCAAACCTTCAGGCGTGAGGACTTAGAGGCTTTAGGATTCGCAGATTTCGACCCAAACGGACACCTCAACATAAACCCTGAAGTTCTTTCAAGGTCGTCAAGACCCGGCATAAACCTTAAACCCTTAACTTAACCTTGTTCGCCTGAACCCTAAACCCTAAAACCTAAACCCTAAACCCTAAACCCTAAACCCCAAACCCTAAACCAGAAACCCGAAACCCTAGAACCCCAAACCTAAGCTCCAAGCGCCAAGGCCAAAATCCCAAACCACCCTGAATCCTAAAGTCTAAACCCCAAACCCTAAACAGAAACCCGAAACCCTAAACCCCAAACCCGAAACCCCAAACCCCAAACCCTAAGCCCAAACCCTAAACCCCAAACCCCAAACTCCAAACCCTAGACCCTAAACCCTAAACCCTAAACCCCAGCACTGGGTCCTGCCTTCGCCAACTCGGGCTTCTTCGCGCCGCCTTTCAGCGTGTCTGCGATGAAGATCCTCAGTAGGGTTTAGGGTTCAGGGTTCAGGGTTCAGGGTTCAGGGTTCAGGGTTCAGGGTTCAGGGTTCAGGGTTTAGGGTTTAGGGTTTAGGGTTTAGGGTTTAGGGTCGCGGCAGGCTTGTGAAGCTGAATTCTCGCAGGCGCTGCAAGGCCTCTAAAAGCCACCACAAACCCCAAAGCCCCAAAGCCCCAAAGCCCCAAAGCCCCAAAACCCCAAACCCTAGACCCTAAACCCTAAAAAAAAACCCAAAGCCCTAAAACCCACATGGGTAATTTCACTAAATACGGATACCCATGGCGAGTATGTGCCAAAGACCTTTTTGCGGGAACCCTAAGTTCGAAAAAAACAAACCTAAATAGGGTTTAGGGTTTAGGGTTTAGGGTTTGGGGTTTGGGGTTTGGGGTTTGGGGTTTGGGGTTTGGGGTTTGGGGTTTGGGGTTTAGGGTTCCCTAAACCCAAGAATGCCCCAAGAACGCCGGGGTGCTCCGCGTTGTCTGGAATAGACTTGCCCTTCTGCGTCTTGGTGCCCGCACCTAAGGCGACCCTCTGCTGGGATCCGAAGGTGTAGGGCCTTATAGGGTTTAGGGAGTTTGGGGTTTAGGGTTTAGGGGTTTAGGGGTTTAGGGGTTTAGGGCTTTAGGGTTGCTTCCCATTCCTACAAACCTGATGTTTCTGCGCCTATAGCATGCGCCAGCATTCACGCACCCCCTGCCCCCCCCCCCTCCCCCCCACCCCCCTCCGCGCATCCTGCCCCCTACTTGGTGGTACATGGGTACTTCTAACCCCAGTTATAATTAAGTCTACTTATAATCTACTTAGGGGACTTAGCTAGGGGACTTAGGGACTTGGGGGTTTATAAGTGCAGTTAGAAGTGGGGTTAAAAGTACCCCCCCCCCCCCCCCAAAAAAAAAAAAAAAAAAAAACAAAACATGCGCCACCGAGAGCAGAGTGAAAAGCTTAACCCTAAGCCCTAAACCTTCAACGCTGAACCCACCATGAACCACAGACCAGCAACCACAGTTTCAGGGGTGTTCCTCGAGACGTTTCATAAACTTGAGGGGGTCTGGAGGAGGGGAGAGGGGCGGGAGGAAAACTTCCCAAATCAGGACCACGGCGCCGTTGATGCCGCTAGTGGCCTGGCGATGCAGCAATTTCTCTGTTCGTTTGGGGTTTGGGCTTTGCCACTAAGCCCTAAACCCTACACCCCTGCTTTCGTGTCAAAGACCACGAGTTCGAATCTAAGGTTGAGGAATTAGGGTTTAGGACTAGACCTGTGTCCAGTAAAGGTTATTGCGAGCATGCCCCGAGCTGCTGCCACTAGGATGTTCGGGTTTAACCCTAAACCCCCTAACCCCCTAACCCCCTAAACCCCTAACCCTAAACCCTAAACCCTAAACCCTAAAACCCTTTCGGGCTTAGGGTGCCCTGAAGGTAATCTGGTCAGGCGCGCCTTGGTGCTGTTTCCACCGCAGAAGGAAGACCTGTCAATCTTAGGGTAGTTGCATGATCCCTGAAAAGGGGTTTAGGGTTTAAGATTTAGGGTTTAGGGTTTAGGGTTTAGGGTTTAGGGTGCCCTGTATATACCTTATACAACTCAAGGGCCCACACATGCCCATACATCAGAACCCTTTCAGGAGGGTAAGGAACCATATTCAGGGACCATGAAACTACCCTTCGAGTCAATGCACACGTCCCTGTATTCCCTAACATCCCCAACCCTGTTTGAAAGACTCACGACCCCCAAAACTTGTACATCATCCTTTTTCTATAAGCCGTCAACCCTAAACCCTAAACCCTAAACCCCCCCCCCCCCCCCCCCCCCAAAAAGCGTCAGCTGTCGCTGTCCAGCCAAAGGCACTTGTCCAACAGCACGGTGCGGCCGCCATTCTCCACTACGGTGTTAGCCGCGGACATGCCTGCAATGGGCTCAAGGCTTACCCTAAACCCTAGCCCTAAACCCCAAACCCTAAACCCTAAACCCGCAAGCTTTGGGCTTCAGAGCTCGACTAGCACTTGAAGAGTTCCAAAGAAACGAAGAACTACTGTCTGCTTAAGAACCCCCGGTTTAGGGTTTAGGGTGTGGGGTGTAAGGTTTAGGGTTTAGGGTGTATAGGGTAACAAAAAAAGAATCATGATCCCTCAATTGCCCTTGTGAGGAACAATCTAATTTGTTGGATAGTCCTCAAGCAAATAGTAGCGAATGATCCAGCACGCTGCGAGTTGGCAACCGGAAGGG